TTGTCTCTCCTTGTTATTCTTTGGAAGTCTACATTCAATTTTCTGTAACTTTCCCTATCTCCCTTGCATTTTGCTTCCCTTCTCCTCTCTGCTATTTCTAAGGCCTCGTTGGACATCCACTTTGCTTTCTTGCATTTCCTTTTCTTTGGTATGTTTTTGTTGCTGCCTCCTGTACACTGTTGCGAGCCTCCATCCACAGTTATTCAGGCGTTCTGTTGACCAAATCTGGTTCCTTAAATCTGTTCTTCACTTCCACTATGTATTCATAAGGGATTGGGTTTAGATTTTACCTGATGAGCCCAGTGGTTTTTCCTATTTTCTGCAGTTTAAGCTTGAATTTTGCTATAAGAAGCTGATGATCAGAGCCACAATCAGCTCCAGGTCTTGTTTTTGCTGACTGTATAGAACTTCTCCATCTTTGGCTGCAGAGAACATAATCTGATTTCGGTATTGCCCATCTGGTGGTGTCGATGTGTAGAATCCCCTCTTGTGTTGTTGGAAAAGAATGTTTATGATGACCAGCTTGTTCTCTTGAGAAAACTCTATAAGCCTTTGCCCTGCTTCGTTTTGAACTCCAAGGCCAAACTCACCTGTTGTTCCTTTTATCTCCTGACTCCCTACTTTAGCCTTCCCATCCCTATAATGACAACAACATCTTTCTTTTTTATCAGTTTTAGAAAGTGTTGTATGTCTTCTTAAAGTTGGTCAGTTTCAGCCTCTTCAGCATTGGTGGTTGGTGCATAAATGTGAATTACTGTGATGTTGAAAGGTCTGCCTTGGATTCATATTGAAATCATTCTATCATTTTTGAGATTGTATCCCATTACAGCTTTTCCCACTCTTTTGTTGACTATGGGGGCTACTCCATTCCTTCTACGGGCTTCTTGCCCACAATAGTAGATATGATAATTGTCTGAGTTGAATTTGCCCATTCTTGTCCATTTTAGTTCACTGATGCCCAGGATATCAATGTTTATTCTTGCCATCTCCTGTTTGACTACCTCCAGCTTCCCAAGGTTCATAGATCTTACATTCCAGGTTCCTATGCAATATTTTTCTTTGCAGCATTGGACTTTCCTTTCACTTCCAGGCGCATCCACAGCTGAGCGTCCTTTCGGCTTTAGCCCAACCACTTCATTAGCTCTGGAGCTACTTGTACTTGTCCTTTGCTCTTCCTCAGTAGCATGTTGGACGCCTTCCGACCTGAGGGGCTCATCTCCCAGCGTCATATCTTTTAGCCTTTTGTTTCTGATCATGGGGCGTTCTTGGCAAAGATACTGGATACTCCAACGACAAGGCAGCAATCTGTGAAGGGGTTTATAGGGTTTACTAGATCCATTTTAGATCTGTTAGTTTCCATCTGCTTTCCGCCTCAGGTATTGGGGAAGACAGGTAATCCCAAAAGGGTTCAGACCTTTGCTGACATCACTTTTAATTGATTCCAAATCTGTCTTTTCTGAGTTGCTATGCTGGGCTTTTACAGTGCCTCTAGACATCTGTTTTAGGGTTATAATTGTAACAAGAACATTTTAAAGTCTTGTTTCTAATTAAGCACCTGAGCTGCCTTGGGAAAGCTTTTCCCTCCAGGGTGGCATACAACATTATTTCTTTGATGCTGGAAAAAAATTAATTAAATAATAATTTGCGGCTCAGATTTGCAGCTCATCTGTGAGGTGACCTCATTGCAAGTCTTGTCCCATTTCCCCTTCTTCCATATCCTTTTCTCCAGGGGCCAAATGTTCTTTAAAAAGTAAGACTGACTCAAATAAAATGAGGTTGCAAGCTAGGGTCACAAGAAAATGACCCAACGTGGCATTTTACTGTTGTTGTTTTTTATGTGCCATCAAGTTGTTCTGATAGCGATCGACAAATGGAGTGCCCTTTCAGGTAGAGAATACAGTGGTGCCCCGCTTGACGATTACCCCGTTAGACGAGGAAATTGCTTAATGATGAAGTTTTTGCGATCGCAAAACGATGTTTGAATGGGTTTTTTTCGCTTTGCGATGATCAGTTCCCTGCTTCAGGAACCGATTCTTCGCATTATGACGATCAAAAACAGTTGATCGTCAGGTTTCAAAATGGCCACTGGGTGTACAAAATGGCTCCCTGCTGTGTTTAGGAAGGTTTTTTCGCAAGACAGGGAGCTGAAAATGGCCGCCCTATGGAGGATCTTTGCTGGACGGTGAGTTATTCAGCCCATTGGAATGATTTGAATGGGTTTTCAATGCATTTCAATGGGATTTTTTAGTTTGCTTGACGAGGATATCGCATAACAGCGATTTTGCTGGAATGGATTATCCTCGTCAAGCGAGGCACCACTGTACACTGAAGTGATTGACATTTCCGTTCTTCTGGGGGCGTCTTGGGGACTGTGCAGCTTGCCCAAGGCCACCCAGGCTGGCTCTACTCCCAGGAAAAACAGTGGGGAATCAAACTCCCAACCTCTGGCTCCACAGCTTGATACCTAAATCACTGAACTATCCAGACGGCTGGCATTTTTCTTAGGAATATATATTTTTAAAAAAGATTGTTTTTTGATCTAACTAACCCAAGATCAGAATGTTCAGTCGTTTTGAAGTAATAGTAATTCAGCTTTTGTCTGAACACTTGCTTTGGTGCTTGTCTTCCTAGGTGACCTGAGGCTGTGTGCAAGTGAGTTCACGGACCTCATAGGCGAGTAGGCAGGGTATGAAAAGAGAGAAACATTCGGGCCCCTTTTCTGCTCCCAGCATAGAAACGAAACACGCTGTTAAAACAGGAAAACTCTTTTTCCCATGTATCGTGTATTGATCCTCCTCTGGCCTTTCCAGTTGACCCATCCAACAAGCTTGGATTCTTGGTGGGTTTATTTACAAGGCTGTGCAAATAGGGTAGGTGGGGCTCATCAGCCATGGAAGGCAGCCCATATAGGAGAAGGAAAACTCCGATTTCAAACCTCCACTGCCTTGTGGCTATATCCACCAATGGAAAAGGCTTCAGGAGTTAACCTCGAGGTAAAATCCGGA